CATGCAGCAGATGGAATGTTTCTCAAGCTTCCGCATGATTACAGTAAGGCACCGCGTTGTCCATGTTATTAGCAGATCATCAACCTACCAACCGTTTTTCGTCTGGTCGCACAGAAGCACAGTGGAGCTAATTTCTTGCTCACTAGTTAATGAGAAAAGGTTTACGCTGCGTGTTGTTTTTGAACTGGCACTTCAGCGTGCTTAGCAATCTACTAACCAACCCTAAACTCTCGAAAATAACCCTCATCAGTAATCGAGGACTTGTACTTTCTAATTCATATGGTTGAGTGCATGTTGCTAGCATGAACATGATACGAAGAAGAAACCAGAAATCCATTGAAATGCTTTGATTTCAGGCATTTTCTAAAAATGGTGAACTGTACACACTTTTGACAAGTGTTAGAAATTATCAACGTACCATCGGGCAACGAGATCAGTTGTCATTTAATGACATTCGCCTCATGAACAAAGTATACTGCTCACGTAAGAAATCACTGCGCATTCTAGTAAATACTTGTTTTATATTTATAGATTTATGCCCTCCATTGCCATGCCAACGTGGGGGATATACAGATCCAAAGAAATGTGGCAGATGTCGTTGTCCGGACGGGTTCGCTGGAAAATTATGCCAGAGCGTCATGCTTGGTTATGGTAATGTGACACTCGACTGTAGTTCCATAACGAAAAGAGTCATTAGAGATAGCGCATATTACAGTGTTCCTGTAATAGAGCCAATGAATCTCCAGCATTAGACAAGTTATCCTAGTCGAGTTCCAGTTAACCAATCAAGTGTTAAGCGCTGACGATTCGTTCCTGTCGGGCGCCATGGGCGAATCAGCAGTGCTTGAACGCCAGCGCGCCGGAACGGCTGATTTATCTGCAGTTATTGTCAGCTAAACTCTTCAAATAGTGTCCATGTGCAGAACATAAAGGGACCACAACAGTGAATTATTACAGTCCTCTCATTCAATCCACCTTTAATATGAAGGATATGGATTCGGTGGTTATGGATACAGGGAAAAACAGATATTAACAGTCTTACTGGGAGGTGAGCTAGTAGAATTTTAGGAGGTCGATCTCCAAAGTCGGGGAGTGCAGGATTCGAATCCTGAAAGAGGAGAAAAGTTGCATTATTCGTTTTTCCACTTGAGCCAGGAATTCACTGTACGTTGCCGTTGTTTCGGCACAACCAGCCAAAGGACGAGTAGCAAATCGAATAAATTTTGACTTGAGAGCAATTTGGTCAGCATGATGTTTTAGCGTAGCTATATCGTAATCGAAAGAGAAGAAGTATGACCCTACCGTCTGATACAAGCACCTGATGTTGCGGTACTCCACCTTGACCCCCTTGATAGCTGATTATCTCGTATGATAATTAGGGTACCTGCAGACCCTGCTGTTGTCACTTTACTGCAAACGTTTTGGCCAAACAGCACTGCTTATCCTCAGTGAAAACAAACATGTCCGTTTCTTTGTGATTGATTTTGGCTTTAGTCAGCGTTAGCGCTCTGATTATGATGTTGTTGTAGGCTTCTAAAGGATATTCATAATGAAATCTTATGGGCAAAATGATTACCCATCGTTATTGTGTACGTTCTTGCTAGATGACTAAAAAACGAAGTATTATTGTTTAGATGCTCACTGTGGTGGGAAGATCAATCTGAGCAATCGAAGGTACTATTTTACTTCGCCCAACTATCCTCGTCCATTTAAAGCTGGTCAAGAATGCAGTTGGTTGTTTCAAGTAAACTCACGTTTATGGCAACCTCTCCACAGTTGGTATTTTGAGCTTAGCGATTTTCTTGCAGGCACCTCGGGGGTTGCATGTGGAGCTGGAATTCGTCGGCTCCTTCGATATTTACTGTAAAGCAGAGCATTCACTTTGTATGGATTACGTCGAAGTGCGCAACACGAGCGATTTCGCAAACACAGGGATGAGGTGCGGTTATTTGAACGTTGCTTCAGCAACCTGTAAATGCTTGACCATTTAGGCTGTGCTGCCACAACGCGCCCACCCAACGCATGTACTCGTCGACCAATGAAATGCTGGTTTTATTTCGCTCATATTACAAGCCAGGTCTGGGCTTCAAAGCGTCCGTCCGAGCAGGTAGGTTTCTTTAATATCCTTCATGCGACGTTTGCTACAAGGGTAATAGTGCAGAGCTGCCTAACATTTTTTCTTTCTCTACGTCGTAGCAAATTCGTCAAACTCCTCTTGACTTATTTAACGTTGCTGTTTGCTGGGTCAGATGGTTTGCTTCTCCTCAGCGTCTAGCATCACACGGTGGCGAGCTACCGGTGGGTAAAGCCAAACATTGTGAAATTGTTCTCCCGATGATGAGTTCGGTTTTGGTACTGGGGTCATGGCTTTTGAATTGGCAAAAGGTGAGGTAATGAGTTTGTAGCGAGAGGTACGAGTTGAAACAGTATGCGCTTATTGGCCACTTAATCTTGTAACGTCAACGTTAATCTACGTCATACTGTTGCACGTTGTTCTAGTGCCAAAGATATCGGAAATAACCTAGAAAAGCCACGCCTCCACACTGAACTTAAACTCGTCATCAGAAAACAGAAGGGCAATTACTCCAGGTTTTACTCAACCTGCACATCATTCGCCGTCATTTACTGAACTGTACAGTGAAAAACTAGCATAGGATGTTACAGTTTATATTGAGACTGTACATACTGTAATATTCGAACCTAGTTTTGGTTCCGAAGAAGGCCATTGTTGTGTGACCAACACGTTGACTACTGTGTAATAAATATTTCTTAGCATCAGATTCGGTCTTTCATCCAAAATTATTGAATCAGAAACTTAGAAATTTTACCAGTTCATGGAGTAGAATCAAAATTAAATTTCGAAATCATCTGAAATGATATTTGTACACCTTAGTCCAAAATCACATGTTTGAAGAAGTGAGATTGGCCTGATGGAATTTTTCCTCTGTAGCACTAGTCAATAACGGCATTGCGGTAAATTGCGGTATTCAGTACATGTTTGCCTACTTGAAATGGATAACTCAACAAATGGCAGTGTTGTGACTTTTATCGTTTCAATGCATTTTATCGTCTTCGACCTTTCTGTGGCACATTGTGATTTTAGTTCCGGTGCTCGGAAGGTGGGAACAGTGGTCAGAATGGAGTAGTTGCACTGCTTCATGCGGAGGTTGTGGTACTCGCATCAGAGGGAGGAACTGCGAGGACAATATGGTCTGCGAGTAAGGATATGTGAGGCGGATCTTCGAGCGTTACTAAACGTCGATTTAGTGGCGAAAACACGGTAGTGGCACCATGCAACACGCATCCTTGCACGACTTGCACTGAAGAACGTGTGGTCAGCGCTTCGTGCGGACTTTGGGGGATGTTCCGATGTGAAAAGTACCGCTAATCGTAAACATTGACCGATGCCCGTGCTTCATCTGATTCAAATTTAGGTCTCAGACCGTAAACGTTCCTTGCCAAAGCAAGTGCTGCTCTGGATTCGTTCTGCGCCATGGTTCATGCGAAGCGGAAGCGTAAGAAATTCAGTGAAAAACTCACTACGAACATTCCTGCCAAAGAAGTAATATGCATATCAAAGCGAAACTCTGTCAAACATCATCATCTGATCCTTTGTGAACCCACTCACAACAAGATTAGTTACGCGCTTCTTGGTTCATCCGTCAGTCATTCCACAGGAGCCGCTGCTGTCGAAAAGTTAGCAAACGAATCGTGCATATAATAATGCCAGTGAATGGTTTATAGTTTTGACAAACTCGAAGTTTTTGTATATTATAGTTGTGTATGCAATAAATTGACTGAAAGCACATTCACGTTTTAAACAGTGTGCAGCAATGGGGATTTTCTTAAGTTGCTTGCAAATTTAAAATTGTATTAAATATATGATGTTAATTTAAATAGCATTTACGGTATTGTTAAAGATTTTTTGATAAAATACAGGGTGTCATTTCCGGAAAAGCTTCAAGTTAAATACCAGGCACTGATTTGAGCTTCAGTCATGAATTTACTCTTATAAATCATGGAGGCAAGCGCATCAGACATCACACAGAGTCTCAAACGTTTCGTGGTTCTATGCCAGAGATTGAGCATCCGCAGAAGATAACCCGAGTCTGGAGCAAAGTCCTTCATTCCTTCATTGCATTTGCCA